CAGGGATCGAACCCGCACCCCCTGCATTGGAAGGTGAAGTCCCAACCACCGGACCATCAGGGAAGTCCCTCCCCTTTTCTTAATATTAGGAAATTCATGCTTCTGTTTGCTATGATTCCTCATGCTGTAAATAATGTCTTCTCTTACTTTGATTCTTGTGTAGACTGACAGCCAGATGCCATTTTTAGTACAGTAAACCATACAATGATATTTGAAAATCTCATTCTAATAAATTCTAAGGATTTTCCAAATTACCACCTTTTAACCCAAGATTCCTAGGTAGTGACTGGAGGGGGTTGTATCTTGGAAATGGGATATCCCTCTGTGTGTTAAATAATAAAGCAGTTCAGAAATGTACAAAGTCACCAGAAGAGACAGACTGTGGCCTAACTGAAGGTGTTGACATGATTAGAGGAAAATGGACCAATCAGAAGGCACAGGTGGTGACACAAAGAATAGGCAGGGTCCCAAAAGCAGACATGGTCCATCCCAGCACCATATGCAAGAGACAGCATCATGGAGAACGCCTGCGGTGCACAGAATGAAGACTTGACCTGTCGGAGACCTGGAAACAGGGATATCCCAACATTCAGCAGAATGCACCATGGCATGACGTCAGGCACTAGCTCCCCTGGATCCAATTCCAGCCTCACCAGGCCTCCTGATGAGAATGATTCCCACAGAGTGAGCCTCTGAGCAGGGAATGCCTTGACCAGAGGTGCAAGTGTTTGTATGCCTTTGGTAGAAAATTGTTCTCATGTAAACTATCAGTGCAGTAGCGTATCTCTGATCTTGGTTAACGTGCTATTGCCTCTGGAAGATGGAGCTTTTATGCTACTTCATGCCAAAGAAGACTCACAATGATAAGAAATGCCAAAAAAAAAAAAAAAAAAAAAGAAATGCCACCTAGTAGGGGTTCAGATGACAAGCTGGTCACCTGCAGAAGGCGCCACCTGAAAGAAGGCACCACCCTCTTTAACTGCCCCAGTCGCACACTAACTATACTTGTGTGCCCTCCCTCTTATTGTCTCTGTGAAAATAGGACTCTTTGGGCTACTAGTGATTCCAACCCCTGGCTGCATATTAGATTCATCTGAACTTAAAAAAAATGCAAAACCTGAGAGCGCCCTCCCAGGCCAATTAAGGATGGGAATATCTGGGCATTGCCTTGGTTTAAAAACTGTCTGTGTGATTCTAATATGTCCCCAGGGTTGAGAACCATGAGTTTGATTATTGATAGAAAGGGGGAGAAGTTCCCCAATGTATTTTTAAAAACATTTAATGAGCATTTTATGGATGAGAAACCCGAGGCTCAGAAATATGAGGCAATTTGCTCAGGTCTGTATAGCTAATAGGCAATAGGACCAGGGTTTGAACCTAAAATTTCTTTGACAAAATATCAAGTTCTTTCCATGATATCTGGGCTCATGCAGAAGAGAAGGTAAGAACTCTGCCAGATTCTGGTGAAGGGAGAAGATTGAGGGGAGTGAAGGCAGAAAGGGCTTCTGGAAAGACTGCCCAAGAAAAGACAGAAAGGTAGAGACCTTTGCAGAATGGTCTCCAGCAGCTGTCTCCAAAGAGTGTGCAGAGGACTCACTGGGGGCGTGACAGGAAAATGGTAGGATTTCTCTTAATTAGTTTTTTTTCTTGTTTTTTTGCATGTTTTACAAAGCACAGGATACACTGATATGGTAATATATGTATATAATTTATAAAGAAACATATCCACATACAGTGGGAGTACATGCTCAAAATTTTTTTTTTTTTGCGGTACGCGGGCCTCTCACTGCTGTGGCCTCTCCCATTGCGGAGCACAGGCTCGGGACGCGCAGGCTCAGCGGCCATGGCTCACGGGCCCAGCCACTCCACGGCACGTGGGATCTTCCCGGACCGGGGCACGAACCCGTGTCCCCTGCATCGGCAGGCAGACTCTCAACCACTGTGCCACCAGGAAAGCCCTCAAAAAATTTTTATGGTAGGGGCACATAGTCAAAAAAGTACAGAGTCCTCTGCTTAGAGAAGATCTTCTAAACCAGGGCTGGTGCAACCCAATCTGCCCAGGCCCCTGCCCTGCAATACAGTCGGCCCTCCCTCTGTTATCTGTGGGTTCCACATCCGTGGATACAGAGTGCTGACAGTAGGACACCATTTTATACAAGGGACTTGAGCATCCGGCATTTTGGTATCTTCTGGAGTCCTGGAACCAATCCCCCGAGGATACAGAGGGACGACTAGATGCTCTGAACTCCGGGCTGGAGTCGGGGTACAGACGCGGGAATTCTCAAAACATTTCTGCAGGTGTTACTAGTGTCATGAGAACCCTTGGTTAAGAATCATTGTTCTAGAGCAGAGGTTCTGAAAGTGTGATCTGGAGGCCTCTGGGGGTCCTTAAGACTCTGTCAGGGACTCCGTGAAGTCAAAAAATATGTTTATAACAATACCAAGGTGTTATATGTCTTTCGTGCCCTTAGTCTCTCATAAGTGTTCAGTGGAATTCTCCAGAAGCTCCATGACATGTGGTAATGTTGTCATTCTGGAAGCTAATGGGATGTTTGCTTGTGTATTTTGTGCTTAGAAGTTTCTTCAGTTTCAGTTTCTAAAATGGTAAATATAAATAGGTATAACACACATACACAAAAAATCTCTGGGGTCCTTAATCATCTGTAAGAAGGCAAAGGGGTCCTGACACCAAAAAGGTGTCCTATTCTAGAAAGTATAGAAGGCCAGGAGATATATATAATATAGTGGCAGAAGACAAGAATGAATAGTTAAGTTGGTTCAAATGGCGAAGAGCATTGCATAGCGTGTTGGCATTGGACCCCAATGGCTTTTGATCTCATACCATCTTTAAAAACATTTTTGAGCATGCATTCACAGTATGTGTGTTATTTTAAATTAATTAAAATACACTATTATATAAAACATTAAAAATCAGAAAATAGAGGAATTTTAAAACAGATAAAGATGAATCAAGCAATATTTTCAAATAACGATTTTTATTAATGGTAATTCTGCTCTAAATAAGAAATAAAATTTTTAAACATGTTTTATTATTAAAAAAAATTATCTATTGCTTTATAACAAAGCCATTCCAAAGTCTGATTCTAAATTCACTTTGTTGTAATCCTTGACTGAGCTGGAAAAGATACCTACAGAAGATAGAGAAACAATAGAAGATGGAGAGAAAGAAAAAAAATCATTGTGCCTCCTTATTCATAATAAATTAAATTTCATTTCCAGCTATCAACTATGCAAAAATTTTTGTTTAAACTTAGCTAATAAATTTCAATCTTCTTTGATTTCAATTAGTTGGGAAGGTGTAAAGACACATCCAGATTTCCAATAAACAGGTTCAAAACCCCCTGTAACTCTTCCTTTGGATACTTTTTAACCAGACTAGAATATTTTGTTTCCAAGTTTAAGTGTGCAGGTAAGAGAGTGTCTAGGTGGCACAGCTACATCAGTTTTGGCAATAAAATCACTAAAATCACGTAACAAAGGATAGGTCAAATTTTATTTGTATCAAGATGCAGGAAGTCAGTGAATGAAGGCACTGTTGCTACCCCCTCTGAGCTGAGCAACTCACAGTTACTTCAGGACTGCTTGGGTGACAGTGACCCCCTGATGCTGACAAGGGGAGAACACCAGTAGTAATTCATATATCAAGTATCAGCAAAATGAACTCAGAGTTTTCCTGTTTTCTTCCTGCAACTCCTGGTTGCACACACCTGGCTTTAGGAGCAGTAGAAAGCCATGGGGGAATTTTAATTAAAGCAGAAGCATTACCAGGTCTGTGATTTACAAGCATAGGTAACTAGCAAGAGACTGTCTAGAAAGGAGAGACCAGAGGCAAAAAAAGACGGCAGGAGGCTGGGGTCCAAGCTGGAGCTGCAGGAGGAAAGGGGGGAAGAATGGATTTGCGAGACATTTTGGAGACACACTTCACAGAAGTTTGGATGTGGGAGGATGGGGAAAAAGTCTAGAGGTGGCGTGGAAGCTGATTATGCCCTTGCCTGTGCATGGAAGGAAGAGGGCAGGAATAAACATTACGCCTTCGGTTTTGGATGATCTGAACTTCCACCCATGTGTGGTATGAAGGTGATATTCTACAGTGTTAGAAGATCTGGGCAAGCTGAAGCAAAGCCCGTTCCTTCCAAGTCTTATTTTTCAGCTCTCCACGCCTAGGTCCTTTGCCTTTTTGGAAAGTCATCGATTTCTTTGAGACTTTGAAGAAAGCCACTGGCCCCACTTCAGAAAGAAAATGTACACACCCCAATATAAAATTGTACATATGCTTTATAGGGTCCCCAACCCTGAGGTCCATCCACCACTCCAGATTGGAGATGTGCCCTAAGTGGCTCTCTTGCTGCCCTCCAAACCTGCCCTATTTCATGTGCCATTTCTCTGAGTCAGAGATAGTTTGCTAATTATAAGTCACTTCCTATTTTAGAAATCCTGATGACTTATGGTCAAATGTCTATGTTCATCATGCTGATTGAAGGACTGTAATTTTTAATGTTGGGTGAGAGACGGAGGAAGAATGGAGAAAAAGAGGTCAATTCAAGGCTTTGTGATTTCTCTGGGTAAGCATTCATACAGCTCAGATAGGATGGGGTGTCGTGGGACACACACAGCGTCACCTGTGAATGATTCTTGCCTGATTGAACCTGAATCTAATAAGAAGTCTAGAAAGACAAGTGAAATGACACCAGAAGAAAGCAATCTGCCAAATCGAGAATGTGAGCTATTCTACAGAACAAATGACCTAATCGCCTTAAAAATAGCGTGAAAACTTAAAAAGGGAGTGTCACGGACTAAAAGAGCCTTAAGAAATGTTAGCAATGAAAAGCAACAGGGGGCTTCCCTGTGGCGCAGTGGTTGAGAGTCCGCCTGCCGATGCAGGGGACACGGGTTCGTGCCCCGGTTCCGGAAGATCCCACATGTCGTGGAGCGGCTGGGCCCGTGAGCCATGGCCGCTGAGCCTGCACGTCCGGAACCTGTGCTCTGCAACGGGAGAGGCCACAACAGTGAGAGGCACACGTACCGAAAAAAAAAAAAAAGAAAACAAAAGCAATGGGACTCTGTATAGTGGAAAATGTGAGAAATTAGAATACAAACTTAAGAATTGGATGGTATTAAAAATAATTTAGCTGGGTGTAATAATGGTGGTTATAGAAAAAGAACCTATTCTTAACAATCAGAGATGCACACTGATGTATTTGTGTGAGGACACAATATCTGAAATTTGCTTTAAAATAATCCAGAAAAAAAAAGAGGTGACAGATGAAACAAATTTGGCAAGATGTTTCTAACTGTTGAAACGGGATGAGAGATATATGGGGGTTCATGATACTCTTATCTGTTTTCTTGTATGTTACAATTTTCCACAGTAAGTTTAGAAATATTATAAATATTTCTTTAAATGCATGGTTCTAAAATCTGGCTGATGATCAGAATCTCCTGGGCAGCTTTAAAAAAAAGAGAGATTCCAGGAGCTGCACAGTCCTTCGGCATCAATCTTCTATAGGTACATTTGTATTGGGTGGAAGAACGGGCCGTTTATAATTTCCCAGGACTCTGGTGCCGCCGGTCCTCATGGCCATCACAGTCATAGGTCGCCTCTTCTAAGATCTGACTCAGAGGTCTTATACTCCTTCCTCCCCTCTGATTTCTTTCCTTCCCGTCTCTCTCTGCTCCGCCCCCTTGTCTTTTCTCTCTGTACTTAAGGCTGAGGGCAGGAAACTTCAGAGGAGCACAGGTAACAGGCACTGGCACATCTTTCCTACTTCCCTCTGGGCCTCCATGTTTTCCCTGTTAAACCAGATGCCTTACCCTTAACAGTAAGTTCTCTTAATACCTATGGGTGAGAGATGTACCCCCTGCCCAGGTGTTCCTTGAAATAAAGTTGTTTGGGAAGTGTGGTCTTAATATTGGGGCCTTTTTCTTTCATCATTCGTAAACAGAAAACATCAGCATTTGTTCTTAAATAATTTACTTTTTAATCTTGACTTCTGTGAAAAGTTACATTTAAATTTAGGAAAACTTGAAGAAAGCCAATAGAGAGTCAACAGTTTTCTATCAGAGACAACTAAATGTGCAAATTTCAAATGTCTTCTATAATAAGTATAAATAATCCCATTTATTCACATTAAGAATGAAAATATTGATACACAAAATATTAAAATAGCAACTTTAAAAGAACTAAATGAAAACACTGAAGTTTATGTGAAATCTTTAGAAAGACATTATAAAGAGATCTGTCAAGGAAAAAGGCTTATGGTATCTCAAGGGGAAAACACATCACATAGGACAAGTAAAGACTATGGAGAGTTAGTTACAGATTGCCAAAATTTTCAGGTTCTAAGTCCAGACCCCCCCCCCAAAAATAGCAGCCTTTACCTCTGGGGACAATGTGTTTCCCTTCCTTTTTTTTCTAGAACAAGTATGAGAGTAACACAAAACACACAGAGAAACTGCAGGCCAAGGACAGAAAGAAATTTCCTCGTACTCATGGTTACAAGGTTGTGCTGTCCCAATGCTAAGGTGGCCACAAGGTCACTGCCCTGCACCCCAGCACACAGCATTAACACAGCAAACAAAACCATCACCAAAGGCTCCAGATTTCCCCGTGACCTTCTCCAATCTCATCCCCGCTCCTTCCCAATCGTCTCTCTAAGGAGGTAGGATACGCAGAAGCATCTACACACTGTGGAGAATGGTTTCTCATCAGAGGGCTGGGAAGTGGCTCTGACCAAAGTTTCACGAGGAAGCGTGAGAGTTTAATGAATTTATTTGCGATGCGACTTCTTCTTTCCAAAATGTGTGGAAAAGGTCGACTCCGCTACTGTGGTGAGGAGTTTGCTGCGTCTATAACATGACCGAAAGCCAGTATGTTATCTCAAGAAGACAGTATAGCAATTTCTGCAGACCAGAACAGCTTCACTTAAATAACCTTAAAGTTTGCAATAAAATAAATAAAGTGATTACACAGACACAAGAGTCTGCTGGTGGAGTTCAGGCGGGCTGTGTCTACGAGTCGTGCTTGCCCCTACAACAACCAGAAAATAGGTTATTATTATCAGTCAGTCTTCTTACTTAAACTTCTAGGGCAGCAGCGCAACGTAACAAACAAAATTCCCTCATATGTAACATAAGGGGCCATTATATGTGTAACCAGGTGTATGCTCACCTCAGTTCAAGTTAAGCTTTAGAAGTAAAGACAGTGATAACCAAAAGAGTTACACATCTGCCCACTGAGAATATTCTGGGTCTTACAAGGTGCATATTGTAAAGAGCAGCTGGTGTGCTTTTCACCGTGGACTTGTTCAGTCTCAGCAGCCTCAGCATCACAGTCTGTGGACGGTTTTGCCGTGTCCGTGGGGAAGGAACGACGCAGGTAGGGCGAAACCGTGAACGACCGGCACTTTGAGCCTGCCCGTTATCCCTGAGCTTCCCGAGCTTCCGGCACAGGGCCTGTGGGCCTCAGCTCCCCATCTCCGAGAAATGCTGATGGAGGGCAGGGGGACTGGCTCCGAGTTTCCCAGCCCGCCTGACCTGCGTCTTTTCCCTTTTCTCTAAAGATGAGGCAGCAGTCCTGGCACGCGTTCTGAGTCCATGAGGTTCCTGGCCGCCTGCTTGGAAGGAGAGGCGCGGGCTGAAGCCCACACAACCCGCGGCCAGTCACACACTTTGCTCAGATTCCAGGCCGGTGACCGAGAGCTTCTTTCTTGCCCTGCTCAGAGACACCCTGGCCCACCGTGCAGGGCCGGACCCTCGGGTGGCACCGGGGCGCTGGGAGCACAGCGCCACGCGGGCTAAGGCTCCAGGCCCCTCCGGGCTGGGGCTGGCCCCCTGGGTCAGGTTAGCCGTACATCTGCTTGAACTGAAAGCACTCGTTGCAGTAGCCGTTGCACTTGGCGTTGCCGAAGTGCTCACAGGCGGGGGCCCGGCAGCGCTGCGTGGGGGGCTCCTCAGGGACGGGCTCGGGCCGCCGGGCACTGGCGGCCACGCGCTGGCCGAGGTGCTGGCACTCCATGCACAGCTCCTGGTTGCAGCAGGCCAGCATGTTCCTGCAGGTGGCCCGCGTGCACTTGGACCAGGAGGTGCTCTGGGTGGCTCGGGGCAAGTCTCTGTGCTGGCTCGCCCTCTGGGTGGAGAGAGCAGAGAAAACCACTGTCACATTCATTGTTCAGGGACCACACGGTGCCATCTCATCCGACGGTGTGGGTTCTACAAAGGGCTGGGTGTGGTGAAGGGCACCTGCCTGACCAAGCGGACAGGGGGCGGTCTATGGACGGGAGCCTCCAAGGACCTTTCCTCCCCATCCCAAGAAAACAGATCTGGCCCCAGGGAGGCCCGGTGGAACCACCATCCCTAACACGGAGGCCGGCAAAGGCTGGCCCGGCTTGCTTCCGTCCGGATTAATACTAAGGTGCCCTCATTTAGACAGATTCCCTACCACCCTCCAACCAGTAGGAGAGGCATCTATCCATGAATGTTTGCTTTTCTTATATGCCAGTAAGTGGAGGCACCTGGGATGTTCTGCCTTTTCCTTCCATCTCATAATAAGGGGATTACTTAAGAAAGTCTGCACTTCTGCTACAAATGCAAGAAGTCTCTGATCGCCGTTTGGCTTTTCGGAGGCTTTAACGGGTTTTATTCCACGGCTGGTTTTATTTGCTTCTTAAAATGAACCTAAAGTAAACTTAGGCCATGAAAATCAATAGGAACTGCTGTGCTTCCAGCCCTGGGGGCCAGGCTGACTTTTCCCCTGGTTTTTCCCTGGAACTCAGCAGGGAGGAAAGCCTGCTTATCGCTCTGGCAAGGAGGCGGGGCCCACAGGAGAGGGGGACGTCCCTCAAGATGTCTCACCAGCTGCTCTTCAGTCCTTTTCGCTTCATGAAATCTCTGGTTCTGAGCTTCGATGAAACACTTCTGACAGTATCCTTCAAACACACTGCTTCCGAGGGCGCCGCATTCCCTGCCCAGGCAGGGGACAGTGTTCTGGAACCTGGAGGCCGTGGGGCTGGCTTTCCCTGAGGCAGGGACAAAATCTACAAGAGAGCAGAGGCTCATCAGTAACACGTACGGTTCACCAAGTGGACAGATGCTGACATCAGGGAAACAGACAGGTTCCTAATACAGATTAGACCAGCTGCGCTCTACCTATGAGAGCAACCTTTCAGAAACCTAGCAAAATAACCAACAGAAATAATACTATAATAAAAACATCTTTGACTTTACAGCTCTCTCCCTTTGGAACAGGCCGCACTGGTCGGTCACAGGAACAGAACAAGCAGAGACATTAAGTGCCCATCCTTCTTTCAAATTTGAGATTTCAAAAACCACAAATGGACTCTTACGACGTCAGTGAAGGCCGCTCTCTTTCCAGCTACCACTCATCAGGTTTTGAATTTTCTCTAGTATGCCAGAGTTTCAAAAGAAGTCTCATCTAAATTCTACCTTACAAACACTACACCACATGACCTTATAAAAACAAATTCTCTGAACTCTACCCACAGGGCTCTTGTGGGTTTTGGAACATGCTGTTCTGTACTTTTGCTTCCAGGTGTGCCGGCAGAGCCACTGTGACTGTCCCCCCAACGCAAAGCACACTCAACGCCACAGCCCTTTCTTGAAGGGGCTCCCTTCTTGAATTTCAGGGGCAAACTGCCTTCTACGAGGGTTTTTTTTTTTTTTTTTTTTTGCGGTACGCGGGCCTCTCACTGTTGTGGCCTCTCCCGTTGCGGAGCACAGGCTCTGGATGCGCAGGCTCAGCGGCCATGGCTCACGGGCCCAGCTGCTCCGTGGCACGTGGGATCCTCCCGGACCGGGGCACGAACCCGTGTCCCCTGCATCGGCAGGCGGACTCCCAACCACTGCGCCACCAGGGAAGCCCTACGAGGGGTTTTGAAACAGGGGTGAAACCCATCCTCTCACTCACGTTTATTTTCTCTGTACTCGATGAAACACAGCGTGCAGAAGCCTTTGTTCTCTGGAGTCCCAAAGTACATGCAGCCCGCTTTCCTGCACTTGCTTGTCCCTGTCCTGTCCCCTGGAGTCCGTGCGGCCGAGGAGCGGTGGCCAGAGGGAGCCTCAGGCCCGGCTCTGCGGCAGGCGTGCGGGGAGAGGCTCTGTGCGAGCTGTGAGGGGTCAGACTTGGAGCGCTGGTGGCAGGAGAGGGGGCTGCTCGAGCTGAGGTTCGGGGCGGGCTCGGCTGTAGTCCTTTTAAAGCAAGCACTGCAGATCCCATTAAACGTCCTGGTGACGTCCTGGAGGCAGGCTCGGCACTTGCCAGGGTCGAGATGCTGCGCAGGGTCCGAGGGGTGGCCCGCGGGAAGCTGCCGGGCGTTGTGGCATCGCTCGCAGAAGCCATTGTGCTGCACGTTGAGGGTGAAAGGGCAGCCGGGGCTCCTACACTTCATGGCCGTGGTCTCGCTGAACAGGAAGAGGCTGGGTGCTGTCGGAGGGGCTGAGTGGGGACCCCCGGCGGGCTCCTCGGGGCTCCAGGCCTCCCCCCGGGAGGCCCCGAGCACCAGGCGGGGCAGCGCTTCAGGGCCCGGCTTGGAGTTGGGCTTTGGGGCTTTGGTTTGTTTCTTTTGCCGCCTCTCCGAGCACTCGTGGCACAAAGGCTGGGTGTTCACGGACATGAAGAAAGGGCAGTTGGGCGTTTCGCATTTGATGTCCATGAGAGAAAGCTGGGGGACGGAAGGTTCCAAAGGATTCTGGGGGTGCGTGTCTCTCCGCCCCTGCTCATGGTTTTCCTGCCACTTCTTGTACTCGTGCTGGACAAGTTCAAAGTAATCATCTACCAGGTTTATTTCTTTGGGTAAGTTAGCTTCATCCAACCTAAAGACCACAAGGAAAAAACATGAGACCACACACACACACACACACACACACACACACACACACACACAGCTTTACACCACTAGATCATAGAGCAAACTTTTAAAACGCGGACTGTGGTAATAACTTCATAACCATTCACTGAAATGCAGCCTGTGATGAAGACTTTGCACCTCTAACGTAACACAGTCCAATACTGTTGAGAAGACGTCATTATTTTGAGAATCAGTCTTATTTAATTAATTTTGGTCCAGCCCAAATTATAGATAATTCTAAAGAAAGGGCTACTCAGGGGCTGCTTCTACACTTAATTACCCTCTTCCTCTTTGAAAAAGTCACTTTTACTTTCTAACTTCTCAGAGACCAAATTTCTAGTGAAATGTTATTCAAGGTATTCATTTGGGAAGAGATTACTTTATAGTACAAACTACCTTGTAATGCGTTCTGTATTTTTCTTTATCAATTTACTTTATTAATTTTAAACGTGCACCTGGTCTCTATTAGCGGTAACCGCCACGAGCAGTAACTAAGAGGCAGACACACCATCAGGCGTTACATACTGACTTCTGACTCTGTAACTTGTTCATCTCCACTTTGAGAAACCGATTCTCTTAGGCCTTCTCGGTCTTGTGCATTTCAAAGTTCTAGGAAATGGGCATCTCTTTATCATCAAGCCAGTGTTTACAATTTTGATACCTGTACAACCTGTACTCTGGGTCTCTCCTCCCCACCCCATGCGGCCAAGTCACGTGCCTGCCACATAAACACATTCTACAGCCCAGTCTGCGTCTGGTGTGTCTGCCTTACCCAGAAGCCAGGAGAATGAGTGTTTTGTCTCTAAGAATTTTCGCTTGCTAGTCTAGCACTAGGGCAATTTAAAAAAAAAAAAAAAACCCATCCTCGATGTGAACGCACTTTTTAAAGCCACAGGGCTGACACTCAGCATCCAGATATGCAGAAAAATCATTTTGGATCAATTACTTGTTCCCATTTGAAACCCAAGTTAGTGCTACCTGAAGTGATTGTCTCTGACTCACACACAAGCCCCTAAACTTGTTTCACGCTGGAGGAAACCAGCTTCAAATAACTTTACTGTTGGTCTTTAGGGTAGCAGCAGCTTAAAGATGACAAAGCATAGAGCGAAAAACAAACTGCTTACTTTGCAGCGTTAATTAAATGGGTGGTGCCATGGTCCCAGCCTTGAACAGGGATTTCTATCACCATCAAGTACTCTTTCAGGAGCTTTTCCTTCATCTCATTTTCAGGATCTGTCAAAAAGTGAACTTTTAAGTCTTCGAATCTTCCTCTCTCTCTGTTAACAAGTGGAACAGCTCGGATTTCTGAGGGAAAAAAATAACACATCAGCAAAATATGATTCTACTAAATGAGATTATGTGTGAGGCCATATATATAACAACTACATTTTGAAAATGCAGAAAGGATACAATTACAGAGGGGAAAAGTATTATCTAGCCACAAAATCAAATGGGGAAACAAACTGTACTAAACTCTAATAAAAAACACACGGCTGGGACTTCCCTGGTGGTGCAGTGGATGAAAATCCGCCTGCCAATGCAGGGGACACAGGTTCGAGCTCTGGTCCGGGAAGATCCCACATGCCGCGGAGCAACTAAGCCCGTGCGCCACAACTACTGAGCTTGCGCTCTAGAGCCTGTGAGCCACAACTACTGAGCCCATGCACCTAGAGCCCGTGCTCCGCAACAAGAGAAGCCACCGTAATGAGAAGCCCTCGCACCGCAGCGAAGACCCAATGCGGCCAAAAATAAATAAAATTTAAAAAACCCAAAAAACCCCCACACGGTTTCCAGGACGCCCACAGCACATTAAGCAGCCTGGAGGCAGTAGGTCTTACTGGTCAAATCCCACACTCAGAACCAGACCGACCTGGGTTCGAGTCCTGACTTTGCTACCATCCATCTCTGTGACATCAGGTAAGTTATTGAACTTCTCTGAGCTTCAAGTGCCTCATCTGTACTATAAGGTTACTGCATCCACAGGGATGCCGTGAAGATGAAATGAAATAAAATAACGTACCTAAGCATTTGTAAAGTGCCTTATTAGTTCCTCATTAACCTATTACAATAATTGCTAACCTGCCAGACATTTACCTGCCCCATGCCAGGCACTGTATTACGGGGCTAATTAAGAAATGGTAGCAGTAATATACATTATCTCCTACTTGCCACTAACATGCTGAAAGAGCTTCCCAAACTATAGACAAAAAGTTGGGGGCGCATTACGATGACTGCTATTACATCACTGTTGCTAAACAACTGACAGAACACTGTATTTAAATGAAACTAATATACTTAAATGAGACTTTCAATAAGAAGCAAAAGAGCAAACCCTGATGTTCAGGAGGAACGGGGTGTACCAGTATCTACCAGCAAGTACAAATGTGAATAGATGCTCAGTTTTCTCACCAGGTCCACTGTCCTTCATGGTCACCAGGGGTACAAAGTGTTGGCTGTCGTAGCCGAGAATGATGGGGTATCTGTAGCATTCCTGGGCAGGCCAGTGGAGAGGCAAGTAAATTCCGCCCACCTTCAAAGGAGCGAAATTGGAACCCGATTCCAAACTTCTCAACATTTTGTCTGTTTAAGGAAAGAGAAAGAAAAGATAAGGCCCTCCGCGGCTTTCATCAGATTCCATTTAACTATGGTCTCCTGTAACTTTGGTAGCATGGGTTTTCCTAAGAGGTAAAGCACTAATAAAGCTGAAAAGCACTTAAATACAGATAAGCCATCAGCAGGCATCTCACCTGAAATGACAATGATCGGCCTTCTGAGGATGTTGCAAAGGACAAATATGTGTATTTCTTCCAGTGAATTATACTGCAGTCCACTGCGGGCCACTGGTATGTCCGTGGATGCCATTTTGACAAGGCTGTCCCATTCATCAGTCCAGTTCTAAGGGGACAGAAAGGAAATCATTGAATGTACTCTGCACTAAAAAACAATTCTGGCTTCACTCTATAATTTATCACTTGTATCACTCAGCTTGCTTTTACCTTTTCTTGAAATTATCATTTAAACGATCACCCTTTTGTCCCCACTTTGGTTTTCTTCCCTTACTTTTTTCCACTACAAGGCAAACTCTAAAGTAGGGGAGGATGGGGACAGCACCTGCTTTCAAAAAAATCCCTAATGAGGCATAATGTCAACGCTCCTCATCCAAATGTGCACAAAAATCCCAAACTTGTGACTGAAAATGGGGAGGCACCCGTCTGAATTTGATTGGCTGGCTCAGTAAAGCATGAGAAGGGCAATCAAACTGAAAAACAACTAAAACACCACAGGGAAGCCCGAGATCAGAAAGATCATTCTAAAATGACTCCCCAGCTGGGAAGCTGCTGCCCTGGAGCCTCCCAGCAGCGACAAGAGCCTCAGGTCCATCCCACAGGAGGTTTCTGGTGTTTTCCATTGACTCTGCTTTGCCAAGTTCATGTGACCCGGCAAATCACATGCTCCTTGAGAGCAGGGACTGGCCGAAGGTACTGTTTTGCCACCATGGAGCTCCGTCAATAGATGCTGGATGAGGAAACACAACATACCCGGGTATCGTAGCAAAGCCCCGTTTCCACGAATTCCTGAGACTTAAGAGACTCCAGCTGCCAGCGGAATTTAAAGTTGCGGGTGTCCGTCTCCTTGAGGGTGCTGAAGAGCGCCTTCCTCAGGACCAAGTCTGTGTCCTGAACACCCCACATGTACTGGGAAGCAGCGTGCATGAGGCAGTTTCCGTCACCTGAGGACAGAAGGGAAGCCAATTCAAGCAATCTACATCTAAGGCCTAGCAGGCGTTTACAGAATAAACTAGCCTTACGGCTACCATGCGGGGACCCAATAGCGCTTGTGAGAAACGCCAGTGGTTTAATGTCTTAGTCGAAGGGCCAACTGGTAACATTTCACAAGGAGATGACAGCTTTAACGAAAAAAACATATATCATTCTTTTAACTCTTATTTTTCATGAATGATACTAACAGCCAAGGAACCAGGGAGTGAGAGACAGGAGCCCTTGGTTCCAGCCTGGCTCCGCCCTAACTAGTTTAGGTGAACTTGGGGGGAAATTCCTTAACCTCTGAGTATTTTTCCTCTTTGGAAATGAAGACATTGGATTATGATCTCTGAAGTCCATTCCTTTCTAACATGCCTTGCTTTTCTGGCTAAGACGCTGGCACTATTGCTCTCTGACTCTGAGAGAGAACCCCCAGGGTAACATGCTCAAACCAGGAAGCTGGTCTGGCTCCATTTACTAGACAGGGACGGCCTGGCCATGACTCAGTGGTACATGACTTGACCATCCCACCACAGCCTTTGGGGCCTGGGAGCTTCCTCTCCTGGTCTGTAAAGTAGGAGTGAGAAGACTGAATTACCTACTGCCTGCCCACCCCACCCCCAGAAATGCCTTGTGTGAACCCGCCTGTTAGCAATTAGAGTCCTTTTTCAGAGTTTAAAGAGGGCCTCGATGTCTACATTTGAAAATAATTCAGTGTTTAGGGCTGGCACTTGAAGAATTTTGAGGCTTTTGAGGAAAAGATAGGTCTAATTTTATTCTATCACTTTGTTACTTTTATAGGTTAAAATCCACAATTCATGAGACTGCATTGCTTTTTGAACTCCAAAGAATAAACATTTTGGAGGTCTGTTTAATATTAAAAAAGTTAACTCCTTAGTCTCTTTTGGGAAGTGCATAATTGTTTTTATAAAGAAAAGTTCAATCGTCTTCTTACATTGTTCTACGGGGCATTAAAGCTATTTGAAATTTTATCAAATCTTAATTATAGTCAACTGTAAACAACAACAACAACAACCCCTCAAAAATGTATCCACAGCCAGTATCCGTTCAATTTACACACTTAGAAAAACTAGCTAAATAAACATTCAAACCAATGAACCAAAAAGATCGCTCAAGGCTTGTGTCTTGGCAAGAAATGTAGCAACAACTGCATTCTGTTGAAATTTCCCCTTTGCAAAATCTAGAGCAAAGATAAGGCTTTTTTTCTTCTTGTGCTTACTTTCAGTTCTTTATTGAGATGCACCAGCATAAAATTCCCTAAGTAACATCTGGAATTCCCCAGCGCTAAGTTATTTGACTAGCAATTGAGCAACAGCTATTGTACTTTTTGTTCTGGTGTGTAGACATTTAAAGTGCGAAGTGCACCCTGGACTTTCCAAGTGGGTGTGGTCAGGGTGAGCTGGAATAGGGCTACTCATTATACAAGTGAAATCGCTGCAGCCAATAGATGTTGGAATTTTTCACATGAAGTTTCGATTTTATGCCACCTACTCCCTTCCTCATTCACCACAGTCTCATATCCTCAAATGCAAACTTGCAAATCACCCCCTCCCCAAACAGACCATTGACTTTGTAGAGCGCTCCTATAGGGGGAAGGCTTAAAAAAAAAAGGGCTAATAAAAATCAGACAGGGAAAGTCATTTGTTTCCTTCCTTCCCCTAAATATCTTTTCTTCCTTTTCCAGAATTTTAAGGAATTTTTTTTTCAAGTGGTGAAATAAAAGGATTCTGAGCCTAAAAATCCTTACTTCTCAGAAAATGATATCAGAATGCACTTGCCTTTGTAGTTTTGCTTGTAGTGTGAATCCTTGATTTAAATGACCTATCTTTGCAAAACAAGTATTTACTTTTTATATTCAATTTTTTCTCTTAAGGAACCAGAGCAAGTTAACCCTAAAATCTCAGTTCAGTTCATGATAATACGGTTTTTCTCTTTCCACCACATTTCTAATTTGGCAGAATCTCTTCTTTCCAACTTTCCCACATCTTTTTGTAACCAAATGGGAGAGAGTTAAAACCACAAACTGTCAGGAACATAAACCCCTTGATGATGACTTCACATAATTACCTACTTCTAAGCATCACTTGACTTAATGCCAAGAACAACATAAATACTACATAGCCCCAGTTTTCTTTCTATGTTTCTAAGAATCTATCCTTCAAAAATAAAAGCAAGATGTTAAGGTGATGCTAACTCCCAGAACCAAAGGAAAAAAACATGTCCCTCAATCGTGCCAAGTTACCCAAGTCAAAAATGGCCAAAGTGAATGTACCGATTTATTTAAGTTGATGTTCTTATCATCTCACTGTCAACAAGGATGTACTAATTTTGCCCTTCGACATATTATTTTGATCGGGATGGTTTAGGATTGTCACTGATCTAAGGCCAGGAGCCTTTTGAGAAAAAGGCCTTACTTAAGACTATAAGCAGTCTACTTGCTTCTTGTAATGATTCGCTACATTTATAAAGTAGAATTTTGTATCTGCATTAAACAGTATGCTCGAATGTTTCTGTGATGTGCATACTCTTGCTTAAAGGAAATAAACAAAAGACAAAACAGTAAAGCTTAGAACAGGAAACACCTACTAGTCATAAACGGCCATTGGGTAGACAGTCACAGACAGCAAGAAATGCAGTACAGTACTAGGACTCCCAAAAAAAACATGAAGTAGAGGTCTAAAACCTGCACTAAAAATCTCAAGTATCTTTCTAGTTCGTATCATGGGACTGTGGGCAACAGAACCCAAGTAAGGGAGGAGCTGACAATAGTCACTGGTTAACCCATAAAATGTGTCACTGATTCAAGAAGTGTAAGGCCATCATCACAAGCATTTTCTAATGACAGTGGGAAACGCTACCAGTTTTCACACAATGCTTTCCTTTTGAACTTAAAGCCTTTTGATATTTCCATTACTGGCTAGGGAAGGTATTTCACAGATGATTGAACAGTTGCAAGAATTACATATAGAAGTCATACATACATACCATACACATATACTTAATAGGTGCCTGGTGTCTAGAGGTGCATTCTTAAAGCCTCAGTGCGCTCTGCTGTCTAACATACACTAGAAAATATCCTTAATTAAAATATTCACAAAACAAGCTTGCTTTTGTTACGTGCCCCTTATAGAATCTCTATACTAAGGTACCTGCGGCCTTAAGAGATTCGATCTGGACTGGTGCTATTACCTTCTAATAAATGGGCACCCAGCCCGGTGGGAGCTACCCCGGCCCCCAGACAAAGGCAGGTCTTACCATTTGTTTTCAGCGCCACAAGCTTCCTGACTTCTCGGCACCAGTTGAGCTTCTTCTGGCTTTCCAGGGAGGCCTGGATGTTTCTGTCGATGAGAGCATTGTGGATGATCTCCCGAAACTGTGGACAAAACTGGCAAGTTCTGAACATTTCCAGCGTGTACCGGTGCATGGATTTAAAATGGTGAATGATTCCATTGGTAGGTTTAAAAATATCTTCTGGAGTTCTCTCTCTTATCTTCACAGCTTTCCGCATATTGCTCAAATACAAAGCCAGAGGAAGGAGTTGCTCAGCCATGGTGCTCTCCAACACCTGAAGAGGAGGGAAAGAAAACCCCATGCCGTTAGCTCGGCTTTGATATGACTCCTATATACCTGCCTGCAGGAAACCCCAGTGTTTGATCTTGTCATTACCCTAAGGGGTAGGCAAAAGATCTTAGTCACCCCTACTCCCAGGATACTAGCTGGCCCCAAAGATGAACTCACACCGGACTGTTTTAAGTTACATCACTTTTAAAGATTAGTCTAAACAAGAGAAGGAAGGCGAGGAGTGGGCAACGAGGAGGAGGGGAATAACCCATGTTTTCAGTAACATTTGTCAGGGAGCCATGCCTGTCTGTCAGCAACAGGTATGGTGCCTTGTAACCGACTGAAAATCCCACTCCATCCTGATGCCGCTCTGGGGCAGCCACTGGATTTGAGGCGCCCTGAATGCCAGTTACAGGCACAATGTAGTCCTGACAAGTCTGGCTCCTTTCCTAACGGCACCACCGAGCAACCCTCGCTCTTAGGCAAAGTCTTGATTTACCTCTTTCAAGCACTCCCTCCCTATACTGGAAAGACAATAAATATTTTGCGAAAAATCCTGCAATTTTATGCTGCTACCTAGGCTGTTGATTGGACTTTTCTCTTTAGACCCCAAAAGAAATATTTATAAAGCGTATACTTGTAAAATGTATCGTAATATACAAAGAGTTAAACTGAATGTTTTATAACCAACAAAAAAGCTTATTCCCAGCAAGATGTTTTGCAATTTTAAGAGCAAACAGTCAGCGGTCTTTCAGAACCTCTCCACTGAACTTAACAACATCAGAATAAAAAATAGAATAATGATAACAATAATAGAATAATAAATTCTATACTTCCAAGAGGAGATATTGGAAGTACAGAATTATATTCTATATAATTACAGAATTAACTGTATTACTTCAACTCAACCGTCAACCAAATTTTATTATCGTCCTCCAGGTACCAACACTCAGATGGATTTTGCACCCTGTCTTCACTCTGAAATCTTCAAGCATAATCGACTGGTGGAAAGAAATAAAAGTCTGGAAGCAGACAAGGAAAGAAGTTTCAGCCAGAGGGACCACTCAGGACAAATGAAAGAGGAGGGGGGCAAACCCCAGCGTCTCCAACCCATGCCAACAGCATGGAATGATGGAATGATGTAACGTGGGATCTTTACAGAGCAGAGCTTTGTGGAGAGCCAGCTCACATTCACTGGCCCTTAGTAGGGAGCCTTGCCATCCATCCTAATTTCCAAGATGAAGACAAAGACATTTTCAGAGCACGAAGAGAGCCCCTAGGAAGTTTCACTGCATTTGTTAATCCCACTCTTGTGTCATACTCTTTACCGGGGCAAGCCTCTAGCTGAGAAAGAAGTTAAACCAATGTAAGAGGGAGAAGAAATCTAGATTACAGAGAAGCCAGTCCTGGTGGGTCTCAGCTCTCTCAAAGTCATTGATAAAATGGTCTAAATTCTCACGGGCCGCTACAAGACTCTGAGGTTGCTTCTGAGGAGTCTTCTGGTGGTGAATTTAGCTCAGGATTCCTTATCTGATAGCTGGATGATGCCTGGAAGAAGTCATTCTCTGGGTCAAATGGTAATCTCTGCTTTGATGTCAGATATTCCTTGCAGGTAGATTTGGGCAAAATCATGGCAGGACCACAGACACAACGAAGGGACAAAAAGATCACACACACATCCCCTTGGTGGCATGCAAATGCCTCTTTCACGATGTCATTCATTTGTCCATCCATCACTCAACAAGCACTGCCTGACCACATACTTCTACTGCCTGACCATCAGCTTGTTGCTGAGGCTAAAGATAAAGACAACCTTATTCCCCGGCTTGAAATCACATGACCACCTTAGTCTCCATCTACGGCAACTGTAGGACTGGTCCTGCTCAGGTAGGTCCCACACCATCCAGGGGCAGGGCTTTGCTGAGAAGCCTGGTCTTCCAACACCTGCCCCTTGCTAATCTCAGAACACCACTCCTGTGGTTGCAGAGTGCCTGCTGCCCTCACAAGGAAACAGACAGGCAAGAGGAAGATTTGAAGCAAGCTAGTTGTAGCCTCTTTTTTGCTTTTTTGACTCTTCTTTTATCTTCTTCTTCACCTAAGATCTTTCACCAAAGTTCTCAAATAGTGAGAGCTGGAACCATAGGCAAGACGTGCAAATGTCAACATTTGATAGTCCGGTGTCACCTCACTCATAGGTTCAGCCTCGCACGGCCTGCAGAATTGCCTCCTTAAAAGAAATCAAAACCCACTGCCCAACTGCCTAGGACTTGGACTTCTCCATACTTAAGATTAAAGAATAATCTGACCTGTGATAAAGAATTTCTGAGCTATGACTGTAATGTCCTTATATGCAAAGACATACAATATTACCCGTAACATTTCTTTCATGTTGTTACCTCATTGGCTTTTTATCAACAAATATCGACTTTTTAGAAAGTACCCCTCCAAAAATTCAAAAACTGTACAAAGAATTGGAAAAAAAAATAAAGAAGCACTTTAGACCACCAAGACTGAAGCAGTAACTGGCTGTTTAATACTCTGGGACATTAGGGCTGTGGTCCAGAGGACCCTGAAACACTGGTTCTCTCAGAAGGCTGCCCTGAGATACTTGACCAGAGCGGCTTTCCAAGGAAAGAAGATCAGAGGCAGGGAGAACTGAAAACAAAGCGGTCTCAACAAGTTCTGAGCTCCTTCCTTACTTAATACCACGGCTTTCCTGAAAGGCCAGGTGGCAGGATGTGGGACGACCCCGACTGACAAAGACAGTCTGACTGGGGGATAGGGGCCTGCAGATGCTCTAAACTGGAGCCCCCAAAGGCAGGCCGACCACCCACTGCTACACGCATACTTCTCTGACACTGCTTAACTCTCAGTGTCTGCAAGCCGTCCCCGGGAAGTTGAGCTGACCTGGCTCCCCGCCCCCTGGGTTTTGCTGCCCCTGAGACATGCCACACCTTCGGGCTGGTGCTACAACAATCTGGAAAGAGGCCACAGCAGTTTGCAAGGGCTACGTAGCCGTAAGCATGCAGAGCTTGATTCCAAAAAAGACAAGCCAAAGAGCAAAGCACCAATGACCACCCGCGACCAAGCGGCCCCGGGGGCGACTCTCCCCGCAGGCAGCTGCCTTTCAAGTTCTCTGCATTATCTGCAAGAAACAGCTGGCTGGATCCTTGAATCCCGGCTGTCACCCTAACATCTGGCGCGGCCCCCTCAACTCTCAGCAGTTCAGAACCTACAACGGGTACAAACGGCCAACAAACTCCCCTCTGGAACCGCTGCAAAACCAAGGCCAGGTCGACGGAGCCAGCCCGCGGGTCGCTGCCAAACTCGCACCCGCAGCCCTTGCCCGGGGGAGACGGCACAGGGACACGGGGGTTACCTCTTCGGGACACGCGATTCTCTGCAGAAACTCCAAGTCCAGGTCAGGACAGGCGTGCACCGCCGGCTGGGGTCACGGTCGGGGTCGGGGCCAGGTGGAGGCGGCGCCCCATGGACGCCCTGCTCGGGGTTAGTTCGCGGGCCGGCCCGGGGGTGCGGATCTCTGCTGCCGCCGCCGCTGCCGCCGCAGTTTCCCCGGCGGCCGCTCTTGCCGCTCCGCCCCCGCGGCCCCTAGCTTGTTGCACTTGGCCGCCGCCAAGGCTGCAGACTGCCAGTTCTCTTTTTTCCCTTTCTGTTTTACCGCCCGCGGACAGCCGGGGATTTCCACCCAGGGACTTTCCAGTCACGTGACGCGGGCCGGGCGCCCGAAGCCGGTGGTCTCCTGCCGCTAGGGGGCGCAGGAGACGCGGGAGGCCCGATGCGCTCCGCCCCGCCCCGTCCCCGCCCCGCCCCGCCTCTCCAGACGCCCGAGAAACTCCTGCGCCCCGCCCCGGGGTGTCCCCGCGTGAGTCACCTGGGCATTTCGGAAGCTGGACTCAACGTCACATCCATGTGGAAATCGCAGTGATGGGAACTGGAAATGAAATAGGTTCTTTTTCTCAGCCGTTTTTCTGCAGAAAAGCATCAACTGTGGAGAACAAGAAGGGAAATCATAAAGAAAGAAAACCCTAAAAACCACCACAGGCCTCCGCTGGATTTGCAAAGCTTGGACTGCGCACGTGATGAGCTCGTAGGGGAGCGCCCAACTCTGGGCCCCCGGGGGGATTTCGAGAAAAATATGCAGTCACAGCCCTTGGCCCCTGTCCGCAGCATTCGTGCCAGCCCCGGACCCGAGGCTGGTGAGATGCCGTTTCGAAGTGACGTGAGATCTCGTGGCCCTGCAGCCTCGAAATTCGCAGGGGCAAAGCCAGTCTTAGATAAAATTAGGAATCAGATAAAATTAGGAATCAGAACCACTATCAACCCCGGGCTTCACTTGATTGATTTTCCATCTCCATTTCTGCGTACCAGGGGCCTGGGGGCCATCCCGTTCAGGTAGCATTTCAGTTGAGAAATCACTTCTAGTCCCTTACTGTCCTTGCCACGTCCCCCTAAGATCTTATTAGGAGTCTTTTTAGAGGTGCTGATGGCAGTTCACCCCAAGATGCCAATGGCTGATAATACTTATTACCCTCCCCCCCTCACACCCCCTTATTAAATAGCATTCTAAGGGCAGTGTCTTCACCTAGAGGGTGTCCTGTAGAAATAGGTGTCAGCCACCTTGGCTATGCAGGAACGTGAGTTGTGGAGAGGGGGCACTAGGTCCTTTTGCTGTCTTGGTCTCCCCCTTGGCTCGGCTTATTTTCTAGAATGACTAGACTGGAACCAGACTGAAGTATTCTGTACCACTGCCCCCTTGTAGGGTTAGGTATACTTGTCAGGCCATATATCTCAAGTTTTGAATTATAAAAATATACTTCTCTCTCCAGTAAGAACCTGCAGAGCCTGGGCTGGAGGCTGTGTGGAGTGTGGTACTTTTCCGGTGGCACTTAGAAGAGAGAGTCAGTAGTGACCAAGGTCCCAGGGCTGGTGCTGGTCATTTGAAACCAGTGGCTGGAGTTTCTTCCAACTCCAAACCTCCTGGTATTTGTCGTCCTCTCATTCACAAATGTTTTCAGCTGCCAACACTCAAACAATTGATAGTCAAGCTAGTAATATAATAATGATAACGGTGATGACGATGCTTATGAAGTCCTTACTATATGCCAGGCTGTAGGCTAAGTGTTTGCAATGCATTCTGCCATTGAAGTCTCACAACCCCACTTTGCAGATGAAGAAACTGAAGTATAAGAAGCTTACTCCATTTGCCCAAAGTCTACACAATCAGTGGCAGAACCGTGACTGGCGCTGGGCCTGCCTTACTCCAAGGCCCACACTGTGAGGTCCTCTCAGAAAATAATCACTCTCAGAAAAGATCCTACAAAATTTAAAGTCTCAGGGCTTCTGTTTGTACCCTGGCCACAGCCTCATAAACTTACAGCACTCACTTAACCAGACGTGGACCCTGGGCAGGGGCAGAATATGGTCTTGGGACCCAGACGGGCCTTGGTGTCATCCTCAGGAAACTTTCTGAGCTAGTGGAGATGGTAAAAGATGATGTATGCAAAAGAACATCCTCAATCCTCAGACCACTCTCCCTTTGTGCTCCTTTGGAAACAGAATTTGCCTGCTCTTATGCCTCATGGTCTGGCTCTGGCCCCTCAACTCCTCCTGTAGCTTCCATTGCCCCTTTTCTGGTTTACATCTGCTCCCCGGTTTCATGAGTTCGGAATGCAATAACAGGCATAACAAGCCTGAAAGACCACACTCATATCTGCCACTTCTAGTTGTCCTGAGATCGCTGCTATACCATCTTGCCTGCCAGGATTTGTGACAATGTAATGGCAGTCAGAGGCAGGAGTGGTCTGTAACCCTCAGTTTAGCTCTACCCCCATTTCCATAGTTCTGCCACTGGAATGATGGTCTCTGTGAGGAGGCATTCTTAGCCCTGCCCTTCTCTAGTTTTTACTGTTCTTTCTGTCTTCTAAATCAGAGCTCTGGCCGTGCACTTTTCCTTTTCTAATACTTAATGCGTGGGCGAGACCAATAAGAATTTTCTTGGTAAATCAGAAAGAAAGAGTGGAAGAGGAAGGGAGAGTATAGAAGGAGAAACTCCTTATCAGAAAGGGGATATAAAATTTGGGGAAATCTGTGGAATGAATTGAAACCAGAGAGATATAAAAGCTTTGCAAGGGACTTTAATTTCTGCAATAGACCTTATCAAGGTGAACAGAACTCTGCAAAGAGAAAGGAATATTTATAAACATTGTGTGGACACATAGGAGAGGAGAAAAAAAAAAAGTCTCCCTATAAGAGAGAAGAGGAATTCTGGTTATGTGGAGTGTTTTGGTGAGTTCCCAAGTTATGTGTCATTTTTATTGTGGTGCCAACATTCACATGTCGTGAGCTTCACGCAATGAGCACACATGACCTCTTGGAGTTAGTCCGTGGGACTGTGACTGTGGCCTGTGTGCCTGTAGCACATAATGAAAAAGATGTGCATCCCAAGATAGTGCGGTTGGAGTGGGGGGGGGTGGGGAAGCGGGCAGGAGAAACCTGATTAAAGAGAGGCAGATGTGACAATTGGGAAGAAGACCCATATCTGGCTCACCTCAAAACTCAGTCCATGAGTCTTTCTTAAGAAACAGCCACAGTGTATTTCTGAAAGTGTATGGAATTCCATGGCTTGGCAATCATGGGTTAAACTAAAATCGAACATTTTGTGTCTGTGGTACAATTGTTCCCCTTTTCCTGGCATTGTTCTCTGTTGAAAAGGGAAATCCATATTAAACGTATTTTGAAATAGCCTTATGTGAATACGGCAGTTTAGTTATTACAGGGTAGCTTTAAATCCTGCTTCAAATTTTAATAACCCAGGGCTGAGTTTTGAGATTATTGAAGTGCGATGTTTGCACTTTCAAGGCTGTTATCAGGGCTAGTTTTGAGAAGACAATAGAAGTTCTTTGTGGGCTATAACTCCAAGGAGAACTGGGATAATAATGTCACAGGTTTCATCACCCTATGGATGCCAAATTTTCCTGAAATGCTACTTCTTATCTAGGGACCTCAGATCCTCTACAGGGATCATCTGGGGTGAATGGAGAAACCAAGACCCACCACAGGGAAGGGACTTAACTGAGGTAACCCAGTGAGTCACTAGTAACAGGAACCCTCCACTAGAAGGGAGGGAGTTGGTTTAGTGCCAAGTACAACCCCTCTTTACCCTACTTCGCCTGAAAGCATGGGGTACTGAAATCTGAAACTTGTCAGAAAATTCATTCCCCAATGAATTCTGGTTTAACTTTCTGTCAACACTTGGCTGAAACACTTGGCAAAGTAATTTTATTTTACATTATGAATGTAAATATTCAATTCTTGGTTTCATTTCCGTTTCTCTGGAGGCTTCTATTAATGACCCAGTATGAATGATGGCCGAAAGCTCTAAACTGGGTTTTATTAGGAACCAGCTGGTGTGCGGGGTTGGGTTTAATAGTAAGCTGGATGTTAACTGAAATAAATTAGCTCCTGTTGTTTGGAATAGTGCAAGCCATTGTGAAAATTTGCCTTTGATGCGCTGCCTTTTCCTTCATTTGTCTCTCAATTCCCTTCGTCCAGTTTGGGGTGCCCATATCCTACTTCCTTGTCACCCCTGCCTTCTCTCTTCACCTACTCCCCATCAGCATAAGAAAGGATTTTGGCTTTCATTCTCTCCCAGGGGCCTGTTTTCTGGGACTGGCTAATCTAATAAGGTAATTTGTGTCCATTTTCAAAAGCAGATTGCAACGTGTTACTGTGTTATATTTCTTGAGAAACATTCCTATTGACACCAGAACTTCCCAGAGCTTAAAGGTGGAAATTCCAAGCGCCTTAGCAGGCTGGAGGAGAAGGAGCTGTATTTCCATGATTCTGAGGATCCATAGCTGCAAGGCATACCCTGGATTTGATATCAACATGGCAGGTGGGGCAAACAACCTCATCCTATTAAATGTACCCATGTTCTTTCTTTTACTCACTGACTATAGCCTACATTTATTGATGTAATTACATTCCCCCTTCGTCTTCACTGTGTAAAGGAGGAAAGACTTTAGCTCTACACTCCTAGGTTCCATAGCTGGGTGTATGAACTGAAAATAAACTGAAAATAGGCAGATTAACAGGAGAAAAGGTCTACAAATTTATTAATTTTTAATATTATGTGCATGGGGCATCGCAGGAAAAAAGTGTATGTGCCTGAGATGAACCAGCCATTTTCTTCTTTCTTATTTTTTTAAAAATTTTATTTATTTATGGCTGTGTTGGGTCTTCCTTGCTGCGCATGGGCTTTCTCCGGTTGCGGCGAGCTGGGGCTAACTCTTTGTTGCCACGGCATGTGGGATCTTCCCGGACCAGGGCTCCAACCCGCGTCCCCTGCATTGGCAGGTGGATTCTTAACCACCGCACCACCAGGGAAGTCCCCTCTTCTTTTTTATTAGAATGAGTAAACACCAGCAGGGCAGAGGAGCAAGGACCCTCTGCCGGGTGTGCTTATCGTGCATGTTTATGCATGTGTATTATTCTCTTGGTTACAGGGAAGTTGACTAGTCTCCCAAATGAATGTTTAGGTGTTTTAAAATGTTTATTCATGCACTTTAGTTTTAAAAAT